GTGAGGAGGATACGGGGGGGTCGAGCGGGGGGACCCGGAGAGCGGTGAGAGGGGCTCAGGAGGCTGTGAGAGGGATCCAGGAGACTCGGGGGGGGATCTGGGATCTGTAAGGAGGATCCAGGGAACCCAGGGAGAGACCTGGGGGGATTTGAGTGGGACTTGGGGGGCTCAGGGACTCTGTGGTCACTTTCCTTGTGTCCTGAGTGAGCCCTAAGCTGTGTAGCTGAGTCCTGGGGCTGTGGGTGGCTCAGGGTCCTGTCCCCACACTCAGGGGTGTCACTGATCACGTCCCATCAGTCCTTAGGGTTTGGTTTGCATTGTCCTTTGCTGCTGTCTCACCTGGAGTCATTCCTCCCTCCACTCTGAAGCAGAGCTCCTGTGCCAGTGGGCACAGCTGAACTTCTCTGCTGCAGCTTCCCACACTTCCCCTTCACTCGTAGGTGCACCAGGAGGTAAATCTGCTCCAAAGGACTTAGAGCTGCAAAGGTGAAGTGTAAATCCCCCAGATGAGCTGCAGGTAATGTGCTTATCTGTGCAGGAGCTGCCCCAAGCCACGGGCTGAGGACCATGTGTGTGTGTGAGTGAGTGTCACACACTTCTCCTGCAGAAGTGACCCCTCAGGTGAGTCCCTTGGCAGGTGTTCATAAACCTCTCGTTGGCTCTGTGCGTCTCATCTGGTGAGGGGCAATAAACCAGTGTCCCTTGTGGCCTTTGCCTTGTCTCCTTGGCTCAGGAGTTGTTCTTAGCTGTAAACAAGGAAACTACAGAGACTGGAGAGGGAAGTGGAGTACAGGGAGAGCACAGCACACTCCCGGTGAGCTCTGCTGGCACAGTGGGGGCTGTTTGTATCTCAGTTTAGATCTCTGGTTTGGATCTGATTTGGATCTCAGATCTGGATGGGATCTTGTTTATGTCTTGTTTGGATCTCAGATCTTGTTTGGATCTGGTTTGGATCTTTTTTGGATCTGGTTTAGATCTAATTTAGATCTGGTTTGGATTTGGTTTGGATCTGGCTTGGATCTGGTTTAGACCTCATTTATATCTTCTCTCTTTCTGACCAATTCTTCCTTACACTGCCCTGCATTTTGGGCTGTGCTGAGAGGATTTAGTGGCCATGGCTGGGTGTCCTTGCTGCAGCCCCACTCTGGCTGTGTTTGCCCTCACTTTTCCCCCTGCTCTTGGCTTCTCCCATCCCCTCCCTGGCGGTGGGCAGAGACCTGCCCTCCCTGTGCGTGTGACCCGTGTCCCTCGCGGTTGTTGCAGGTGTGTGTGACCCTGGTGGTTGTTGCAGGTGCTGGCCGCGCCGCTCGCGGCTCCCGGCGGGACGATGTTCAGCGCCAGTCAGTGCTCGCGGGCGCAGTTCCTGGACCGCGCGC